GGGGGGGGGGGGGGGGGGGGGATCAAGTGGCAGGGTGTAGTGTGGTTCAGGTTGGACATCCGGCAATAGACGTGGGCGTTTGGAGGGCGAAGTGGGAGATCGCGTGAGGGGAGGTGGGGAAAGGAACGTTAGCGTCGTGTAAAAAGTAGAGAAAGATGCTAGTAGTTAATATTGCTGAAATCAAGATACCAAATCTTAGAAGACTTTTTATATACAATGTATTGTATCGTAGAGACGGAAAGAACGGTCCTGTGGGTCGAATCTGGGTCGAATAAGAAGCAAGTTCGACCGACGATTGGCAATCCGAGGGCAGACTTCGAGCAGCGAAAAGGGAACCTTGTCCCCCTTTTCCCTTTCTTTTGGGGGATTCAAGGGTAGGGCGCCTTGGTGGCGGCGAGGGGAGGAGGGGGCGGGACTGCTGGTTTTCAAATTTTTCTCGCATCAAGTAGTGTTACGGGCTGTTAAAGGTTTTCAATTTTTCTCGATCAAAGGGTGCTGTTAACCCCTTTAAAGAGAAAAAAGGGTGAGGGGAGGAGGACGAAGGAAATACACACAGAGAAAGAGAGGATCGATGATGGACCCTCTTTTTTTTTTTTTTTTTTTTTTTTTTTTTGGGTAGGTAGAAAACTCTTGTCTCTTTCGTTTTCATTTCTTTTCCTGTATGCACATGAACTTCCGATCATAGAGCCGCAGACAATCTTTTAGTTAGTAAAAAAAAAAAAAAAAGAACTTTTAGTTTGAGCGATTTTTTTTTTCCAAAACTTGACTTCGTCAACAAAAAAAGGTGTCGTTTTCGGGATAATGTGTAGATCCGGCCAACCAGAAAACCTATTGGGTAATTTGGGTACCCACAAAAAAAAAACACAAAATTTGGGTTAGGTCCTCACTGCACTCCCTCACCCCACCGCACTCCGCACTCCGGTGGGGTGAGTACTCACTCTGGCTGAGTCGTCACCGCGGCACTCACTCGCCCTTTTGGCTCCAATCGATTCGTGGGGAGCGGCATGTGTTGGGAACCGGGCCCAACGTCCCTTATAATCACAATTAGGTCCGTGGTCCCCACAGCCTAGCCGGAAGGGATATATCGAGAGTATCTGAAACTTAGCGCATGACTAACTATGGTAAACACTAAGATTTCCTTTCCACTAAAACTTTTTTTTTTTTTTTTTTTTTTTTTTGATTCCACTAAAACTTAGCGCATGGCTTCTCGTTTGTTGTCCTCTTCTCTCTCTCTGCCTACGGTTTACCGGGCAGTTCTGTTTGTGACGATATATATATTTTTTTGGGAAACGGCTTAGATATGGAAGCCACTAAGATTTTCTTTCCTGCCCCTGTTGGAGCAGGGTCTATTCTCCTCTGAGTACTACTGGTCGATGCTCAAAAGAATTAGCTGAGACTGGGGCTCAGCTTCCCATGAATGAAATGACCAACTGTGCTGGGAAACAGGCCCAGCGTCCTCAGCTTCCCTTACTGAAATAACCAAATAATCAAATCTGCTGGGAAAGAGGCCCAACTCAGCGCAGACAAGTCCAGACGGGTGTGGCGAGATGAGTGATGCGCAGCAGTGAATTTACCCAACAGGTGCATGCATCGGCCCGGAATACTATCCAGGTTCATCCTGCTTCGGGATGAGTGAAAGACCAATTGCACCTCGAGAGTCGGGACTCACTCGCCCACCGTGTCGAGTGCTCGAGAGGACACACCCTCTTGCGTCCGGACTGCGGGTCTCGTCGCACTACTCGGCATCCGCCAACATTTTGATTGCATGTGGACATTATTTTGTCCAGATGCATTCGAAATCTTGGCGGATGGCGAGTAGTGCAACGAGGGCCTCACTCCCCCAACGTCGTGTGTGCTCGAGAGGACACTCCATGACCCGCACTCTGCAGGCGAGCGAAACCGGTTTTTTCTTTTTTTTTTTTCGAAACCAGTTTGGGGGTGCTGAACCTGACAAAAAAAAACAAAATAAAAAATAAAAAACCTCTTGCGTCCGGACTGCGGGTCTCGTCGCACTACTCGCCATCCGCCAACATTTTGATTGCATGTGGACATTATTTTGTCCAGATGCATTCGAAATCTTGGCGGATGGCGAGTAGTGCAACGAGGGCCTCTCTCCCCCAACGTGGTGTGTGCTCGAGAGGACACTCCATGACCCGCACTCTGCAGGCGAGCGAAACCGTTTTTTTTTTTTTTTTTTCCAAACCAGTTTGGGGGTGCTGAACCTGACAAAAAAAAACAAAATAAAAAATAAAAAAACCTGACAATTTGTTTCGAGTGTTTGGCTGCCAGAGGAGCGGGGTGAGTGAGTGCAGCGGTGGCACTGACCCGAAACTGCCAGTCGAGAGTAGTCCAGAGAGGTTCCTAGACAGAGGTGACCAAAAAAAAGAAGGAAAGGTCCTTAGGGGCCCTCGCCACACCACTCTCAAAATGTGCAAAAGACAGAGAAGTGGCGGGCGCATCTGGCCATGTTCTAGCGGGAAGTTCGTTTTTCGAGAGTGGTGTGGCGATGCCCTTAGTCATGCCCAAAATTGATGGGGTTTTGCGCGGTGGCCATGCCTCCGTGGGCCTCTTTCTACCAAACTATGCATTTGGGACTCATTTTGGGCCAGATGCACGATTAGCTAGGCCCATTTTATTTTCACCTCACCTTCATGGGCCTCGTTCAACCGGTTCGCGGCAATTCCGTCAACCTCTTTCTACCCGGCAATGAATCTGTCCCTGTTTTTCTGCCAGATTCATGGTACGTCTGGTAGGGCCATTGGCCACTATGCCAGGTAGGGTAGCACGCAGACAGAGGGTTGACGGCAACCCCGTTGACCTCATTCTACCAGCCTACGTATCTGGCTCTATTTTCTCGCCAGATTCATGATCTGGTAGGGCCGTTGGCCCCTATGGCGGGAAGGGAAGTACCCAGAGGGAAAACGTTTGGGCCAGGATGCAAGGGCGACTGGTGTACCCAGAGACCCAAGGAATTTGCCTTCACATTTTTTTTTTGCCTTGACATTTTTTTTCTTTACCCAGAGGCCCAAGGAATTTGCCTTCACAAGGATGAATTTTATTTTATTGGGCCTTTATGTACTATGTACTTGCGATAGGGATTGTGTTGTGACTTCTTCAACTCTGCTGGTTTGAGCAGTACACAACACGTGTAATGTTAGGAATTTTAGGGTTTAGTTCATTGTCATTGCTGCTGTTTTTTCTGGCGGTTTAGGCAATAAACAATACGTGTAATTTTAGCAATTAGTTCATGGCTGCTGTTTTTTTTTTTTTTTTTTTTTTTTTTTTTCGGTTTTGTTAGGGTTACACGTGTTCAGTCGCGTCATCGTGTCGGATTCAGTCACGTCATCGTGTGGGCTTCGTCTTCGTGTCAATTCGACCTGTGGCCACGTCAGCTCTGGCGTCTTGTCGATTTCGACTTGTGTGTTTTACTCACTTCTTACATGTTTTCGTTGTTTCTCGGCGATTGGTAAGGTTTTTTGGGAAAAGAAAAAAAAGAAAAAAGGGCCCAGTGCGCAAGGTTAATGTTATCATAAAACCATATGAGGCCGGGGTCCTCACAGTCTGCCCGGGGGCCAGGTCCCACCAGCAAAGAGGATTGAACTGAGCGCCTGAATCTGGATGGTTTTAGAGTAGAGATTCAGAAAAGCAGTTTAATCTCGATTTTCTGCACCATTCCACAACCACGTCCTGATTCAGACATTCAATTCCAATGCTCTTTTGCTAGTGGGACCTCGTCCCGGAAGAGGAAACCTTTGGGAGCCTTACCCAGTTTGGCTTTTTAGGAGACCCATAGGGACCCGCAGAACAAAGAACAGAAATGAGACCCATAGGGACCCGCAGAACAAAGAACAGAAATTAGCTATCTCCACAGAGTTAGCAAAAAATTACAGACCTACCGACCACGGCACACCTCACCCCTTGGCACGAATAAAGTCTACATACAGACCTACCTGAAGTCTTCAGACAGATTCAGAAAGAAGAGTAGGTGCAAAAATCCAAATTATAAGTAGGAAGATCAGGGCAATAAGACTAGTTACTGTACTGAGAATCAGCACTCCTTCCCTCAGAGACCAACACTTCAATCAACAACCAAAAGGTGTCGTCACACCTCTCTTTCGCACTACGCTGAAGTTCGGCCTGAAAAAAGCGGCCTAAACTAACCAAAGCATCTTCACAAAGACCTAAACTAACCAAAGGTCCATAGTCCTTATGAGTGAAGCCAGTGACCAAAGTTCAAGATTCCTTCTCCAGAGATTGAGACTCATTTTTGAGACTATTTTTGGCACAAGTCTGAGAAAACCAAAGGGGTTTTTTACCGAGTCTGTGAGAGAGCCGCCTGCCAGTCCAACCAGACTGCTTGCCTTATCAGAGATTTAACGAGATATATCATATATCTTTTTTTTTTTTTTTTTTTTTTTGGGACAAATGCTCCAGTCTATTCGTGGGGAGCAACACGTGCTGGGAACCGCGCCCAGCGTCCCATATAAAATGATACAAGAAATTTGGAATACCAGAACAATCTGAGAATACCAGGGCCATTACTTGGGTTCAGCTAAGAACAATCTAAAAATTCCAGCTAAGATCAATCTGAGAACCACGAAACTTTGAAAGGAGATTGTTTCTTGTTTGGGGGTTGCGTTATTACGAGCCTCCCACAGAGCTTCCATCACCGCGCTCCATGACAGGCTACAGTCTTCCCCCGAACACAACGCACCCTTATTTTGGCTGTATCTGGCCGGAAATATAGCTTGTATACATTACTTTTAGGGTGCATAATGTTCGGAGGAAGACGGCAGGGCTATGTAAGCCCATCCTGAATTGGGGGTGTTCTTTCCCTTTTGTAGATTCACGGGGACTTGATTCAAGTTGATTGTGGTTGTTTTTCACAGGGGAAGGGCTCGGCTTGCTGGATGCACTTGGAGGCCTTGTGGCCCCTGAACCCCGAACTTTATCTCGGTAGTTTTTGCCTGGGGCACTGGGCCCTAATAATAAAGGGAACCCCAAGGCCTCGTACCACCCTACGTTGTTTTCGCCTTGGGCACTGCGCCCTAATAATGAAGGGAACCCCCCGCTTTTCCTAGTAGGGTGTTACGAGACCCAGGCATAGGGCGTCGCTGCACTACAGTAACTCTTGAAATGCACAAAAGACAAAAATCATGGCCGTGTATCTTTCCATATTCTAGTGGAAGATTCACTCT